ATGAATCGTAAGGGTATTTATGTATGTATGTACATGTACATAAATGTAGGTCAAAGACAAAGTAAAATTATTTTATTAAAGTTTAGAAAATTAACAGTTTAATGTGTCAAATGTGGCGAGCCATATTTACCCGCCATTGGCCACCGGAAATAGGCACAAGAAACAAGGCCTCCACTTCCGTTCAACAACGATATAACAAAGTTTAAAAAAAAATGGTTTTATAAGCTAAGAGGACAGTTTCTTAGTTTGGGGTTAGTTTTTTAAAATGGGAAACTTTAAAGCTCGTTGAATGGGAAATGGACTGTGATTCTAGATCAGAGGCTGTCTGGTCAAATTAAACTTTTATATTTATATGAATGTGTGTGTACGGGTGATAGTGTGCAGAAAAATGATATTCTAACGTAATGAAAAACATGGTTTATATTTAGAGGAGAATTATTGTTAACTAGCTTTTGACTGTGACTCTGTCGCATGTATGTCTGTTATCGCGATAAAGAGTAGTATGTTTCCGTCTTTCCTCATCAAAGTATCGTCATCATCACCAGCCTTTAATAGTCCACTGCTATCCATAGGCCTCTCCTTAGAAAGGACGTTTTGGCCTACTATACCACGCTGGCCAGACGGGCTGGTATAGGGTTTGTGTCAAGTTTTCTTTCTCTTTGTAGTGCTGTTGTCCTGCGTAGTTTGCACCCTTAGTCGGCTCTTACGTCTAGGCCTGTGTCCAGCAGTGGACTGTTGAAGGCTGTTGATGTGATGATGATGTGATCTGTAATTCCCAAACCATCCGGTTGACAGCGACTGGTTTGGCTCCAATAATTGAGTGGAACCAACATACAGTTGATAAAATTGTGGGTCTTTAGAGAATAAGGGGACAAACGAGCAGAACGGGTCAGCTCACACATCTTTAACTCAAGAGTCCCAATGCCCTTTAAACTCCAATAGAATCAGGGGAGACTTAGGCTCACGTATCCTCACTAACAGGAGTACCCGGATCCCTCTTTTAACAGGTGTGAGCCGAGTAGTGGTAGATGAACAGAGTGGCACACCGTGTGGTTTTAGTCGGTTCGAATCCGACACACCACGGACGTGACGGCCCGCGGAGATTACATTTCGAAATTGTATATTTATCGTATCGTTTAAGCATGACTCTCCCACGGTAAAGTTTATGAAGCGTCTTCCTACCACTTTGGTAATTCAGAATACAGATTATTATAGGACAGATTTTTTTAATACCTAGGCTGCCTTGTTCAAATCAATCAATCAGACAAGGTGATCAGTGAAATTTCTGAATTTGACTGCACGGATGGCGCAGTAGTTTAAGCGGTCACCTCGTCACTTTCTACTGCGCTGCGTGTTGTGAGTTCGGACCCCACATAGGACAACACTTTGTGTATTCTGAGTCTGGGTTTTCTTCATGTATGTTTGTAAAGTCCCCCGCGACACATGATATAACGGCGTTAGGGGTTTAGCGACCCCCGGTCGGAACGAAGTTCATGTTGCTTTTTAGCAGACCTTTGTTATATATATGACTCATGACGTCATACTGAAAAGTCGCAAAAAAAGTCTTGTTACACATTTTTCGGTGTCGGAGCATGTAACTCGCGATAAGCTACTTCGCTCCAAAAACGCATAATACTATCTTCAAAACTGACCACTCTCGTTCATTGAACCCATGACAGTGTCTCGTTAATACTACAGTGATGTGTCTTCGTTATGACCTAGATTATTGACTTGTAAAGTTGTTTATTCCTAAGGGTGACCGCTAAGATCTCAGTACACGATTACAGCGAATCCAATCGAAGACAGATATGCACGATAAAGTTATATTTTATTTTTTATGTTAGGGGGCAGACGAGCAGACGGGTCACCTGATGGAAAGTGACCATCGCCGCCCATGAACGTCTGCAACTCTGGAGTCACAAATACCGCAGACGATAACCCGTTCCACAGATTAGTTAACATGCGCTTTTACATGCGTTTTACCGATATTCAAAAAGAAGGAGGTACTATGTTAGGCCGTATGTATTTTTTTTTATATTTGCGTCATCTAATGAACCATTTCAATAACTTTTTAAAAGGTTATACTACAACGGTTATTCCATTTGCGTCAAGTCTGGATCGGATGATGGTATCTGAAGTAAAACTACGGGAAACTCTCAGAAATTAAATTCACGTATATTGTATTAGTTAAATTCTCTTAAATTTAAGCAATGTGAAATACCTAAACTGATAAATCTTACGCTCTGCTTTACCGTTCATTCGATCACCACAATTTTTTGCATACAAGGGATAGGAAATAGAGTATTTTCACCCAGAGTATTTTCAAAAGAATATTCCCGATATAAGGCAAAAATACTTTTACACGAATTAAGTAGGTGAAAACGAATACTACGAATACGGAATGTCACCACCCCTATTTATCCCGTAGGTATCGTAAGATCCGGCGAAGGGAACATTTAAGGAGAAGCCTATGTCCAGCAGTGGACTATTAAAGGCTGTTGATGCGATGTGATAATCATGTGATGGGTATCAGCAGTTTGGTTTACATAGTACAGGCCTAACCTGGTTTGGAATCGGACAACAATATGTAGGATATGTCATAATTAATATGTCTTTCAATAAGGATGAACTGCCTCTGACGTAAGATATTATAACTTGGTCGATGTATTAGGCAGTTCAAAGGTATATAGTTTCTCATACATAGTCAAACCTTCGCATTAATTACCCCAAACACTTCTTACTGTATGTCATGAAACGTAAAATTGTAATAATTACACCCGCTTTTCTGATTAGCATATTTTATTTTATATGTTATAAAAACACGAAAATAATGAATATGTTAATTTAATTGAAATAGTAATTATAAAAATATGAGGTATTATTATAGTAAAACCTTATGACAAATATATTCATTTTTATAATTTCACTTAAGCCTTCGACCCCGGTTGCAATAGAAACATCTGTGGCAATCGTTACGGGTAGTCGGAACTCTCAAAACTACTAAAAAGATCGATAATCTACAGAACTTGGATATCGCCTAGTACTCATACTCAATACTCAATATATTTATTGCATTCCACAATGTTTACTTAGATGGTAACTTAAATATAAGATCAGATCATCATGGACCCTGTCGGGCACAGCAATAGATGAGAGATGGAGAGATAATCCAAACTAATAATAATAATTATACTTCAGATTTTTATGTACATGCTTAATTTATTGATTGCTCAGGTATTCATTGATGCTGTAATAGCATTTTTGTAGTAGTAATTGTTTCAATTTATTTATATACTAGCTGAGACCCGCGGTGTTACACGCGTTTGTTGTTATAACCGCGGGCAACGCCGCGGGGCGAAGCTAGTCTAAAAAAGTAGCCTAAGTTACTCCTTATGTCATCAGCTACCTGCCAGTGAAAGTCCCGTCTAAATCGGTCCAGCCGTTCCAGAGATTACCCGGAACAAACAGACAGACAAAAATTGTAAAAAATGTTATTTTGGCATATGTACCGTGTAAACATAGGTACATATGCATTTATTAAAAAGCGGTTATTTTAATATTACAAACAGACACTCCAATTTTATTTATTTGTATAGATATATTTAATATGTTGTGGAGTTCTGATGGGCAGTCATTCCAAATACAAAATTGAATTTCAACTGATAGCCGACCAAGGTATGAACTTCAACCTGCATTAAGTACGTTAAGTGTGTGGGTACAGTACGGAATGGAATCTTTTTTCTCACGATGAAGTCGTATCTCGGATTCGAACCGGTCACCACACTGTTCCGTAACCAATGAGTCCATTGCAAGGAACTCGGGTATGAAGGAAGTTCCCGAGAATCCCATCAGACCTTGGCTGCCATATGGAAGTAAATCTAATCGTAACACAAATATCTAAATCAGCTGAAAGGGATTAACAAGACTGATAATAAAGTGTAAAGTTTTATTAGTGTTTATTTAGTCCCTGTGGTGACGGATTAAGAATACAGTGTCACCACCAATATTCATCCCTTGGGTGTCGTAAGAGGTGACTAAGGAAGCAAACTACGCAGGACAACAGCACTGCAAAGAGAAGGAAAACTTGACACAAACCCTATACCAACCCGTCTGGCCAGCGTGGTATAGTAGGCCAAAACCTCCTTTCTAAGGAGAGGCTTATGTCCAGAAGTGGACTAGTAAAGGCTGTTGATGTGATGATGATGATTTAGAAAAAGCCAAAAATAAATTCCTAAATATACATTTTCAAGAAAGAATTATTTACTTGTGTCCAAGTTACAATCATCAGCATCTAGTTGATGATGGATTGGTAGCTGCTATAGATATTAGAAAGAATTCTCTCATTGCATTAAAGTTAATCTCCATGTAATTTATCTATAATATGTATGTGTTTAAATATTTAATGCCAACCAGACCGCTGATAAACATACTTATATATATATATAAGTATGTTTATCAGCGGTCTGGTTACCATAGTACAGGCTCTGCCTAGTTTGGAATCAGACGGCCGTGTGTGAGATGTGCGAGATATATTATATATTATTTCCTGTCAGAAAGAAAAAACTATTTCCAAAACGGCAAAATAAATGAATTACGCGCCATTCAACCGAAATGTTGATTTTTCTATAAAGGTATTATAGCAAATATCAGTTAGGAAGTCAATGATAGCACAGACATCAAAATCTGTTCAGGAATTTAAAGTTAATTATGGAGTAAATAAACTTCCATATACAAATATACATATTGACATAAATAAAACCCTTTTGACAATTCCCACAGAATCTTGTAAAATGTAAAAATTTACTGAACTCTATTGCTTTTACCTTACCCTTAGACTTAAATACATTAAAAAAAATCTATTTACGTTCCTATCTGATAACGTGTACACTGTTTTGGTACTGATTATAACTCTCTTAAAACCATAAGATATTTCTACATATATAAACATCATAAGTATAACACACCTTTATATTTGCTAATCTAACCTCTATTCCCACCAGGCTTCCTCAAAGCACGAGTACTACTCCCAAACCACCAGTCAGAACGAAAAAAGAATCCAATGACACAGAAAAATCTCCGACCCCAGAACCTCGTCCGACTCCTCAACCAGTCGAAACAATAGAACCCCAAGAAACCCCAAAAGACCCTAACTTCTGCCAACGTCTTATCAAAAAATGTAAATCAAAATGCTGTACATGCTGCAAAAGTGATGATGAGAAAGATTTGAAAGAAGAGGAATCTAAGGAGAAACAAGGAGGAACAACGAGTAAGCTCAACTGCTGTAAAACGACAGCTGAAGCAGAGATGTCGGAGCAGGAGATAAAAGAGATGGAAAGAGCTGCGGGTAAAGTAAGTAGATTTGTAACTGTATACATCTCTTCCCTAGAGCTCTAGAAAACAACAGATACTGAGTCCTGGTTAAGGGAGCAGTTGCACATTATATCATCCAATAAACAGCTGTTCCAACTACCCCATAGAACCGCTGTCCCTTTAAATTCTTTCATGTAAGTTTTTTTAATAACCTAATAAAGCAAAGCTGAGCTTAGCTGAGCAAAGACATGCTGTTTCCCTCTAATTTGGCTCTTATGCCAGCAGCAATTATTCTTTCATCATCATTAGGTCTACGATATTCCATGGCTTAGAAATTGATCAAATAAAATTTGAATACACAAACTGATGTCCAAAAATAAATGGAATTGAGGGATGTTAGATGTTACGATTACTCCACTCGACTGTACCTCAACTTGGGTACTATACCACAATTAAAAGATACAAACTAGTAAATATATGAAGCGTTCACATTCTAAAGCCTCGATCAGAATAGGGAAGATAGCCAGCACAAAGAATTTTCATTAAATAAATACCGCCATTTCCCGATTTAGCTAAATTAGAAGAATGGGCTTTGGGAAGACTCAGAAGCAAATAAAATTTAATAAAACTATTTGTATCCAGGCTTCAATTCAATACGAGACTGAAACGGAAACAAAGCGCACACGAAAGCTTCGAGACATTCTTTGCGGTTGCTGCGGAAATCGGCGACGCGTAGCCGATACGGGCGAGATACCACGCAATGTAGCTGAGTCTATGTCGCCAGCGCCAGAGGAGACCGGCTGCTGCGGGAAAAGGAAGAGAGTCCAGAGGAGAGATAGCATACTGAGTGATCGACCTCCTTCCAGGTTAGTATTATCAACTCTCTCTCTCTCTCCCAAGTAACTCAAACATTAACTAAACCAGTATATTATCTCAGTTTACTAATGTTAATTAAAATGGTGATATAAAGGATCATCAACAATCCTAACTTAAATTATAATTGGGACGGTGACGTTTTGATACAGACTCAACCTAGTTTGGGATCAGACAGCCGTGTCAGATATGTTAAGATTTTATTTTTATACAAGAAAAAGTTAAAATGTTATGAATTTAACTGGTGTTTGACTATCTGTCTGTGTTGCGGGTTCCAAGACAGTTTAATTTCTTCCTGGGACTTCCCGAGTGTCATAACTCGGTGTGTTCGTGGGTCACTGCTGTGGATCCTGGTGTACAGGAGTTACAGTGGTAGGCGTGTGGATGGGATTAGTCCCATTATCTGTCTGTGTCATGTTAGGACCTAAGCACCTAAATCGATTTTGGTTTATCTTCTTTGGCCACTCAAAGAATATTGTTAGCGTATGGGCAGTTTTCTAAATTTCAAAATTGGGGATTTGAAATGTGGTTCTTGATGACTTGATAATCAAGTTTCTGACTTAAGAATTCCGATGCTGAGAGCGTAAGTTTTCGCAACTACTCATAACAACTTTCCCAATTACTTCAGTTGCTGCAACAACCGGTTGTGCACGTGGCTACGTGGCATGTGCCGCCGCAACTCGGACCAAGCCTCCAGCCGCCGGACCAGCATGTTCTCCAAGAACAAGAGCATGTCACCCACACTTCCCCCCGAGGTATGTACTATCTAATACTACACTTATCGACTAATTGTAATTGTATTAATTCCGCTTCGTGTAATGTAAATGAATAAAAAATATATGTACCTTCTAATATCCAAATCGAATTTTGAATGGAATTGTAAAGATTTCTTCCGAGAAACGAGGGTCTTAAGCGTTGGTTCTGTGATCCAGTAGTATTGGTTTCGAATCTCACCTAACACACCTGTTGACATAAAATTATTGTCAATATTCGTACTAGCATTTAGCTTAGCTGGAAAAATTACCCAGTATACCACTGCTTATCCTCCTACTGTTTTTAAGGAATCGAGCATGTGGGTCACCATCTGGCTTGTTTTGAGTCTTCGTGTTCTTTGTGTCCGTTTCATGTATGTTTGTTAAGTCCCCTGCGACACAGGATATATTACTAGTGCGGGAGTAGTCTTTTTTTAAAACAAAAAATATTATTACAGTCTACTGCTGAACAGAGGCCCTTTGCCAGTGTGCGCCATAACTCTAGGCAGTCCGCCCTCCGCATTCAATCTACCCCAGCTACCTTTCTCATGTCATCAGTTCATCTGTCTTGGGGGGCAGTCTAGGATACGTTAACTCCAAAGGCCGTCGATCCAACTTCAGATGTGGCCACTTAAGCATGCCTATTCTGCGAGCTATGCCTGGAACTTTAGTTCTTTGAGGTACTTTGGGGTCTTTTGCGATAATTACGAATTTTAACCGTCGAAGGAACTGCAAGCTTCATTCTTTGATTGTTTTTAATTATGTTTACGATAAAGAATTCTTTATCCATCTATTTCATCGTATTTATCCTAAGAAACATGTCTTAACTTGACTACTTAATAAATCACCGCAGTGATTAGAAACATGTCTCGTCGCTGATATTTAACATCGCCCGGTTCTAATCGTGGTCGTGTCACGCAACGCTAGACAACTGGGCCTCAATTCTACTATTTTATGTTAACGCACAGCCAGTGTCATTCCAGTGACACGCTATTGAGATGCCATTCAAATCAAATCAAATCAAATCAAATCAAGCTTTATTTGTTTAGAATGTAGGTAAAAATACAAATTAGATGTTGTGTAAGTTAAGTAAGTTCCTGGTACATTCTGCCATATGGCATACAAATCTTAAAATAATAATAATAATAATAATAAAAAGGACAATTATTAAATAAAATTAGGATATTAAAACCTTTTACATATGTCAATAAAATTATAATGAGAAATCTTTGTTTGTCAAAATTGAGACGCCATTGACATCAGTCAAAATATCAGTATTCTACTAAAATAAATTCACAGTTTCAATAGACTGTCGTAATAGTAATATAGGTCATCAATGGTGATATTAACAACATTGCCATACCTGGAAAATTAAATATATTATTTTCTTACAAATTTAAAATATTTATTTATTTATTTATTAGGTTAACTCACAGCATATATATGTAACATTAATGATAAAATCTAAGTAATAAGGTTCTGATATACATGCCACTTACGAGCTAATACAGCATTCACAGTTTAGACAACATATTAACAAAATCACATTGATATATAGGTATTACAAACTTAACTTAACACTATTTCCGACTTGTAAAAATATCTGAAAAGATTTACTTACAGAAATAAATATCATTTATTGGTCTGGTGAGTTTAGTGGTTGCAGTAACGATCAGTACATACTTATCAGTTTTTATTTCAAGGTTTGCTAAATGATTCCCATACTTTTGCACGTACCTGGTTCTCCCTGTCATGATACATCAGCATCAGGCACAGTCTTGGGTAACGAATTCAAATCCCTACACATTCTACTTAGGGGTGCGTTTAGACCAAGGTTAGTTTTGGATAAGGGTACAGTAAGGGGATTGCAAGCAGGATTACGTGCAGATCTTCTCGGTACATTAATGGTAATGTTATATACCGTTTACCAAACTATTACAAAGACATCGACGACATTTGTATCAGTGGCAGTTCAGTGACGAGTCATCAGGAGGTCATTGGTCTTACATAGTTAGTAGAATACGAAAAGTGCAAAACTATTCCGACGACATTCAATCGACAGTCTATTGATACAATATTAGAATAGCAGAATTGAGGCCCTGGTACTCTAGTTCTAACTCCAAGGTCTCCCCTTGACCGTTACAAGTTGTGTTTGAGGTTATAATTGAACGTACTAAACCAGAATTTCGACCTAATTCGTATTTCATTTATAAAAAAGCAATTTTTCTACATACAAACATTTAAATACCTGTAATTAGTGTCGGCCTAGATGTCCTAGTTTGGTAAACCTCGTTTAAGTTTAATTACACATTTAATTACAATTTATTTAGATACAACGTACATTGGTATATAATCGACGACCGAATGGCGTAGTGGTTTGTGTAACGGACTGCTACACCAAAGGTCGCGAGTTCGATTCCCGCTCAAGTGAAACATTTGTGTGCATGAACATTTAATGTTTGATTTGGTCTGGGTGTTTCTATGTATAAAAAGTACGTATTTACAAAAAAAAAAGTACATATGTATTTATATCAGTTGTCTAGTACCCATAGTATAAGCTCTGCTTAGTTTGGGACTAGATGGCGTTGTGTGAATGTGGAGAAAAAAATAATAATAAGATATTATTGACCAGACATATTTTCTTTATGCAATGTCAATTAAACGTGTAGTACTAGTAGAACTCACGGTGTCGTGAGAAACGATCATCCCTAAAGACCACGCTTTAAAAAGAAACCAGTACTTTAACTTAACCAATGAAATAACTAAATATCCTTATTCGTGGAAGAGGATGCGAGGGGTATACCAGCTAAATCCCTCTATAACCTGCTTAAAGACCTTGGATTACCAAAAGCTCCAGTAAGCTCTTTTCTTTAACCAATATCCAAAGCGGCATTGCTAGGCTTGTATCAAATATGGTTAGGTAGAGGGGGTAACAGAGCAGACAGTGGAGGTGAGCGCTGACGCGTCGCAAGGAGTACTCTCTAAACCTGTACCTGGGTCGTAAGTCCCAGGCGCTGTCGAAGTGGCATGTGTTGCCCCCATCTATGATGATGATGCCCGGCAGCCACACGGTGAACACATGGAACACTAATAGGTGTCTGTAGCAGTAGTATATTATATTTGATAACTCCACGGATAAAGACATCACCTTCAAATGTAAAAAAAGATGCATCCGGGCTATATTTGGGCTTCAGACAACCGACAGCTGTAGGCCCTATTTTCTGATCTATGGAGAAATTTGGAGAAAATTCAGGTCTTTAGGGACTAGCCGAGCGGTAACATGTTTCATTCTCAAATGATTAGTTAAAATAGTACGGATCGACTCGTGAGATACAGAAAGTTCGGCGGCTATCTCTCTCAAAGTTGAATGAGGATTTTCAGTCACTATTTCCTTCACTTTTGGGATGTTAACTTCAGTTGCAGACGTTGATGGCCTACCAGAGCGAAGCAAATCTTCTATCATATCTCGACCGCTTTTGAACGCTTTGTACCACTCATAAGCACTTGTTTTTGATAAAGTCTATTCACCGTAAGCCTTCTGTAACATTTTCAGTGACTCCGAACACGAAATTCCATTGGCGATGCAAAATTTAAGACAAACTCTTTGTTCGGTGTTTTTGTCCATCATGAAGTTCGCAATACACACTAGATATGATATAACTAAAAACAGCACTGTATTTAATATAAATAACAGATGCACTCAAACTCCGCGCCAAAATGGCAAACAGTCGTGCCAATCTAACAACAACAAAAAAAAAACGAAAATTTGAATTCTGAACCATAAACAAATCATCCATTCCCGATACTTTTTTGACTGAATGTATGCTGAAAATTAAATATAAACGATTTTAAGAAGAAAAAAAAAAATGCTGTCTGAAAAATGATTATTAAATGATATAATGATATATAATGATTATTTAAATGAGTATCTTCTAAAGCTCATTAAACTGCCTGTATCAAAAGTTTTTCTTTTTTAATTTAAGATTTGTACGCCACATGTGGCAGAATATGCTGTCATTCCTGACTGTATTTTTAAGAACTTATTTCGTATACTCGTATTTTTTAATAACTTTGTACTTGATTTGAGTGTTAGTAAACTTTGAGTTTCTCACACATCTCACACACGGCCGTCTAATCCCAAACTAGGCAGAGCCTGTACTATGGTAACCAGACTGCTGATAAACATACATATTCTATTTTTAAACAGATACATATTATAGATAAATTACACCCAGACACAGAACAAATGACCGTGCTCATCACACAATATTTATCCTGGGTGGGAATCGAACCCACGAGCTCCGGTTTAGCAGTCAGGGTCACTAACCACTAAACCAACAGGTCGTCAATATCTCATTTTTTTGTATATTCATGAGCATCATATAAAAGAATTGTACCACCTTTTCCGTCTATAAAATTTAAATCTATCAATGAAGAACCAGATGGGTTTTAATCATTCATAGTACTTTATGATTTGATTAATTTACACAAAATAACTGTAGTCATTTGATGCAATGGTTACGCGTGTTATTAGATAGGCGCAATGACAAATAGATCAAAATATTATAAACGTTCAATCAATATAAAATATATCCTCATTTTATAATAAACAATTTTGTTATTGAAAGTACCTGCATAAAGCATAGGCGTACTTTACCCATAGAGCTAATACAAATAGAGGAGAGAAGCTAGCCACGATCCGGGGACGTTGACAGAAAGAGAAAGAAGACGGCGATTTACATGCGTCTCCTCGCACCTCTTCGTTAATGTGTTGGCCCGAAGTGGACGAGGGGAAAGAGAAGGGAGAGCAAGGAGCCGACAGCAAATGAGCAAATGACGACCGAATGGCGTAGTGGTTTGTGTAACGGACTGCTATTCTAAAGGTCGCGGGTTCGATTCCCGCTCAAGTCAAACATTTGCGTGCATGAACATTTAATGTTTGATTTGGTCTAGGTGTTTCTATGTATAATAAGTATATATTTACAAAAAAAAGTATGTATGTATTTATATCAGTTGTCTAGTAGCCATAGTACAAGCTTTGCTTAGTTTGGGACTAGATAGCGTTGTGTGATAGAATATTATTATATTATTAAATCAGCGGAGAGGTGCGGGAGAGACGCATATAAATCGCCGTCTTCTTTCTCTTTCCACCGATGTCGCTATTCCACTTACAGGCAATCCAATACTCTATCTCCCCTATCTGTATTATCTCTATGACTTTAACCCATCTGTCCCTCATGCATCAACAATTACAGACGCATCTAATTTTTAACTAAAATGTTATTGTTGTTACTATTTTAATCCAGCGCCATCTAGCAGAGACCAAACGAACGACGTCGTTACAACTTCTACTACATCTCGCAATGAGTATATATAGATTACTTAGTAAAATTAACTGTTGGGGCGTCGCAGGTTGAATTATTTGAAAACTGAAAACACTTAAACAAAACACTATCTGAAGATTTTTTTAGGTTAACGGTCTCATTTTAGCTCTAGATTAAGGAGTGTAGAGGCAAGGAGGACCATCTCATATGGGGCAGTTGAAAGAGTGTCCAATATAGAGATCGCTGGCGTACGAAAAACTACGATATGAACATAGCTGAAGTGTGCCGAGTCCAAATATTATAATACTTTTATTGTCTGAAAGTTATTACATGTTTATTTATTGTCTGTTAAGCTCATTGAATATTTTCGCAGTCCAGTACCCAGTGTCCAATTATTATTTAATCCAATATAAATATATCCCAGGCTGCCTCAGCGTCACTCTTATTGGACGCGTTTTTACGGACACTTTTCATACACGGAGATGGTTCTCCTTGTCTGCCTCTACCCTCCAGACACTAGATATATAACAATCCACGAAAATAAACCACCAACCAAGTCCATATTTAATATTCAACTAATAAATAAAGCATTTTTCCTTGATTGTTCATATTTTATGTGCAATCCTTTCTCATCCGATCATCACAAAATTTTATTTGGAAAACAAAAAAATATCTAAAACAGTTTCCACATACAAAAAACATTTTTTTTATTATGATCAATTAAAAAAAAACCTAAAATTCACAAATGCACAGTAACATTTGAAACAACATAGCATCATCTCGGTGAAAAAAAAAGAACAGCATAAACACTAAATCTAGAAAAAAAAAACAGTTATTTCCAGAAGGAGCACAATAGCTGTGGTTTGACTTCTTAAATTTGTACCAAATGACATAGGGTTCTATTTGTCCGGAACGAAGGAAGAAGAACGAAACGAAGCTTCGGGCAAAAACGAGTCAGTAATTAAATTAAATAATTTACATAGTTAATTATAACACAATCAGCACTTGCGTGTTACATACTATATTTAAAAAAAAATACTCTACTTCGCGTGAGGCCTTTCTTAGCCACGATTTTATCATTTATATGTCTAAGAATTTAATTAAAAGTAACAATAATACCTATTTATATAAATAGGTTAGCGGTGAGCAAGGTCGGATGGACTATAATAGGTATAAAAATCGATGTCCCATCGTCTTCATACATTAACAAATTTGTAATGTCAGTATTACTTAGACCATTACATTGAATACATTCCTACCGCGTTAAATTTAGTGTAATTTAGTGTTTCAAGTGTAGAAATGTGCTCAAATGTGTGTTTATGATGTTGAAACGATCGCACAAATTTAGTCTTAGACAAATGCGTAATATATACCTGATACCGTCCCTTCAAAACTACTTGTACAGCTTGCCGCGGGAACTTTACTTTCGAAATCCTAACTACCCTCAAATCACGATGGTTGATAACAAGCCGATGACTCCTGTTCCCCCTATCAACATACATGGAGCTTCGCCTAGGCATTCGCCTAGACGTTCCCCCAGGCCGTCTCCTAGACCGTCTAGGTCTAGGAAGTCGTCTAGGATACTCATTTCAACGGATTTCATGAAAAAGGATATTGATATTGAAGAGGACATAGAGGTATTTAATATTATATAAACCATCATCATCATCATCATCATCAACAGCCTATACTAGTCCACTGCTGGACATAGGCCTCTCCTTAGAAAGGAGGTTTTGGCCTACTATAATATATAAACGCTGCTATATAATATAAATTGTCCGCTGGACTAGATTATAACTTACATAAAATTTTCAGCGTTTTATTTAAGTTTAGTATTGTATTGATATTTCAAAAGTGCGAAATAAAATAATTAATTCAATTAAATTATCTTAAAAATGATCATGTCAAGTTGAGTTCTTCACAAATACACCGGGGACTTGTTTTGCAAACCTCTATAGATTCGGGTAACCTCTTTCTATGGATCCGTATTCTTTTTAACCAGCATATGACTATACAACAGCCTCATAGATGTTATAACAATTTAAAATGATAAAGGATTTGTCGAGAACAGCCATATATTCCGAAATATTATATAATAAACAGAAGAAGAAAAAGAGAGAAGAGAGAAGGAAAACTTGACACAAACCCTATACCAACCCGTCTGGCCAGCGTGGTATAGTAGGCCAAAACCTCCTTTCTAAGGGGAAGCCTATGTCCAGCAGTGGACTGTTAAAGGCTGTTGATGTGATTATATAATATAAAAATAGGATGAATGATCAATCGGAGTCGTTATGTTAGGAATTTTGAACCATTCGGCATAATGAAAATCGGTATTTTCAAAATTCGTATTTGTGACTGACGGAATAAAGTTTTTCGCATTTGTGTAGTGTACCCGGATTTGTCACATATATTTGTTCATTTAACAACAAAAGCAAAAGCAAATAATTTGGTATTTTCTTTAAATCTACCGAAATACTTAAAAAAATTTTTTTAAAAATAGCTCGCTTTTATTTTTAACAGCATGTTAACTAGTTTTACTCTTTAAATAAATTATGATCTATTTAAATAAAACATAACAATAAAATAAACTTTCCAATTATTTTTTTTTGTTGTGGAAGTGCTTCCAATGCTCATAATTAATTCCAACAGTGTTAAATTAATCGTGACAATATTTACAAGAAGTCCTTTTTTCATTTGACGTTTCAATCCAGTTATACCGATCAAGGTCATGAGTATAACAACCCACAGCTGCGATCTAAAAAAATATTTTATGCAAAAGTGTCGGCACTTTATACACACTTTATATTAGCTTCACTTGTATGTTTGTTTGTATGTTTGTAGCCGACTCCTTTGGGCGTGATTTTAACTGACTTTAAACGGTCAGAATTCGTTCAAACTTTGTAGATTTATCGAGGACCGACAATACAATAATTTAAAAAAAATTAGTTAAAAAAAACAAAAAAACACGCTTTCTATAGAAAACCAAACTAAAAAATAGAAAATAAATTTGAAAAAAAGCGTGGGGTGCTTTTTACTATTGACAACAGGCACCCAACGCTTTTTTTTTATTTTTTTTACTTACAAATATTTAGCTTACTGTAAGGGGTTTAAAAGCATTCTAGTGAAGAGTAAATGTCATGAGCCACAGTAGTTAAAAAACTGAACAGTCACCAAGCCTAATTACGAAATCTATTGTAAAATGTTCTTTTTGTCGTAATGCGGTATTTAGCTCATTCATTCGACTTTAAGGAAGTTGGTTTTCAAACGGGGTTCATTTACACAATCATTTTACTATGTTTTCAGGTTTGTCAAGGTCAGGGTAGGCAGACATTATAACGGGATATTACATTGCAAAGTATAATATTTCGAATATCTGACACAACGCCATCTAGTTTCCAACTAAGCAGAGCTTGTACTATGAAAGCTAGATTGACTGATAGAATACTTATATACTTTTTTGTAAAGGTACATATTTTACATAGAAAACACCAAAACTCCAAACAAATATTTGCATATCATACAAACATTGGGTCCGACCCGGGAATCGAACCCAAGACTTCAACTCCGCAGTCGCATACGCTAACACCTAGACAATCGAATATAGTTTTTAAAATGTCTTGAAGTCTTTCATTTAGTCATTGTGTGCGGGACAGCTTCGCCGGACCTGATAACGACCTTACAAAGAATCAGTGCTCACCAATTGCACACATGCAAAATTGAAAGCAGTTAAAATATAATTCTAGAACGTTATTTACCACCACACCACGTTATCTAGAGTCAACATTATAACAACATCTGCTATGCCTTCTAGACCATGGATAAATACTCATTACCTACTGTTGTTAATAAATATAATGCATACACAGATACACTAAGACCAATACAAATAGTCATATTAATGAACAAACATATTTCTGCACTAAATTATTCGAACCCAAGACCTCTCATGTGGCAATCAAACAGCTTACCACTGCATCACGTAAGCATCAAGATAAATAAACGACATGAAAACAAACAATACACTATCGAAAACCGCCGTAAACTGCTAAGTTTATATTTTTACTAGCTGACCCGGCAAACGTTGTATTGCAAAACAATAAAAAATTAGGGATGGGTCACCATTACCATTTAGGGGTATGAAAAATAGATGTTGGCTGATTCTCAGACCTACCCGATGTGCACACAAAATTTCATGAGAATCGGACAAGCAGGAGGAGTACGGGAACGAACATTGTGACACGAGAATTTTATATATAAGATTTAAAAACAGGATGAAATAGTAAACTGAAAATATTTTAAATGAGAACCAATGTGTGTGTTCCATTTGCCAGGAGACCTAATATGCTACCTTGAGGAACACCTTCACGGTTGTATCCACTTCTGAGCCTTATTTCTTCCATTTGGTCAATAATTTACATAATATTATCTATTTCAGGACAACCGTAGGAAGCTGGACACGTCATTAGTGGAACACACAAGTATGATGCGAGGGGCTATACCTGTGTTGCCGATTGTTTTGGCGTACTTCTGTCTCATCTGCAACATTATTGTTCCTGGTCTTGGTGAGATAGCATGATCTTATGTGAACTATAGATGGCCTAGTGCCCACAAACTCACATATTTTAATAGAATATCTTCTACACAGTCAAACGCTTTGGTCAAATCGAAAGCTCGTTATGTATTTTCAATGCTTAGTATATTAAATTCATTCATTATAATAATAGTAAATAATTTATATCAAAGAAAGATACAAAAACATAGCCGGTGGCCTCGCACTAGACAAGGCCTTTCCTGTGGGTGCATTTTGCGATTACACATTTTCGGTACAGGATTCTGCAGCTTTTCTGGTGCTTTCGATTCATTTTGGGTTTGATTTCCATCTATAATAAATACCAATCGTGTGACGAGCGATTTTCTTCATTTTTAAGGACCTCATCTTTAATTTACTTAGAATTTTTGTAATACACATGTCTATGAGCATTTTAATCATCCCAGTACTGGCCCTGTCCAGTTTGAGATCCAACTGCCGTGTTTAAGGTGTTTCAATTCATTATTACTATCCAGGTACAATATTCAGCGGCATGTTCTGCCTTTGCTTCGGTATACCCAGGTTCGGTGTTCACGATGGTGCGAAATACAGAATAGGTGAGTTTATTTTATCAGTTTATATCTGTAACTAAGTTCAAATAGAAAATTTGAGATTTTGTTCAGCCTCGGATGCAGGATTGGCAGCCTTTTTTTAACGGGTTAAAAAGCAGTACTGCGACCGTTAGTGTGACAGTCTTTGAAAAGGCTTACAATTTTTTTAGATGGAGGAAAAAATCATTTTATATTATCATTATTTACTTTTATCAACGCTTTGCTAAAGAGAAATAATGATTTATAATATTTCGAATCCTTTCAATTTCCTTTCCTCCTTTTCCTTCCCTAATTCCCTTTCAAATAAATAATCTGCGTATATTAGGTATAGCATACGTATATATATCATACGTGGGTGTACAAGAATCACATCTGTATGTTGACTGACTAGGTTTATGTATGAGTATTAGAATGGTGGGGTAATCATGACAAGAAATCTGTATGCGGCTGGAAATTGCGAAGAGTTCGTAGTTCTTAGTAAAAACCCTCTTGCACGACCAAATCGAATCCAACCACCTTTGTACTAAATAGTTTCTGTTTCTGTTATTTCCAGGATCGTTCATCATTAATCTACTGGTGGGTTGCGGTCAGCTGTTCACAGTGCTGTTCTGTCTGGTGGGATGGGGGTGGTCCATCTGGTGGGGCGTCATTATGGTGAAGACTTCACGTAAGTCTAACATCTGTTATATTCAAAATTGACACTTGTCAATCTCAGGATTTACACTATAACATAACATAACATTTCCCACCTTTTTCAGTTTTTCTGTAAACATTATATTATACACGTATAACTACTTCCTTCTAACTTTTTCGTTGAATTTGAATTGTATAGTTTTCTACACCTCTTAACAAACAGGCTTCATGGCCCCATGTTTGGGCTCCAAATTTATCAGTTACTTTTAGATACCACATATTATAACTGTAGACACAGAAAAAAAACTGATTTCACAACCATTATTATGTCTTAGATAATGTTTTTTTTCTATTAACAGGTAAATACCGTAAACTAAAACGAGAAGCTGAGGCAGCGGAAGCTGAAGCTGCGCCCCCCGTCACCACCAACAATCACACGCGCGCGTAACACATGCCATCGTCAAATAACCAAATACAATAACCGCTATTAACCGTTATTGATGACGTTTAAAAATAATTTCCTATACAGTGTTTATATTTCACACTGTTTATCATCGTTTTTACTTCTCACCAGTGATTACACAATTAATAAGAAGTATTAAGATAAATAATTTTAGAAGGAAACTTAAAGAAATGAAAGGTATATTTTGAGGACAGAAATCTTTTAAAAGAAACTTTAAAGTGATTTGTTCTTCACAGGAATGGGCAACACTCTTTAGTGATTGTGTAAATAATAAAAGCATCAACGGAAAATGAAATTGAACTGGGGCAATTCGAGAATCGAAGGGCCTCATTGAACTTACTCTAAATCTTGTAAATAGTTATAAAAAAGCTATCGTCATTTTGACAAAGTATTCTAAACAGAATTTGTCTTAAAAATTTAAATACGTAGAAAAATAAACGTGGAAAATCGAAGTACCTCAAATACTTTAATATTCTGCTGTGTGAATACTTTAATATCTGCTGGTCAGAAAGATTTCTTACCGTTCAATAACGGGTTTTCCGTCAGAAACTTGAACTTCGAATGAAGTTTGCCGACCGAGTCCTACCTCGGTCATTTTTAACTTTTACTCATAGTTTAAATAAGTATATTAATAATATGAGCCCCAAGTGCTTCTATTAATAGTAATATTATACACTTTGAAAAGAAGGCGATATGGTGTAGAAAGAAAGAAATTTAGAATTCTGAAGAAATGTAAAGGTCGGCAATGCACCTGTGACCCTTGAGTTGCAGATAGGCACCGATGGTGACTACCTTTAGATGACCCGTCTGTTTGTTCACATCGTAAAATGAAGATATTTTTACTATTCTTTGTCCCTCAAGTGACATGGCGTTATAAACCCCGTGTTTTCTATTTAACAAATATACCTAAGAGATTTCTTACACCACATCGTCCATCTAAGTTCTAATATAGGAAACTTTTGTATTTGACCAAACCAATATTTCGAACGTAGTGAACACGTTTAAATAACGCTAAAAACGCGATAACGTTTTTGACATTTTTTCAAATAACGCGCTATATCAATAACGTATGTAATGTATTATTTTGATATTAACATAATAATTAGTATTAAAACAAGTGATTTTATTTGGCTTCCATATTATATTGTTGTGTTGTATTATATTGTTATGTGAAATTAATATTATAATCTTATATGGCGTAGACTGTTATGGTGTGCAAATTAGAAATAATACGGCTAAGAATATTAAATATTAGAACAAGAAAAAAAAAATTCACATCAAAGCAAAAACTATTATTCTGCTATATTTTACAACGTTTGTGCAAAAACCTAATTCTTCTTCAATTATAACATACGTTGTTAAAAACCACGTCAAAGTAACCGTTCTAGGGTTTTGATGTGGGAGTCATCAAGGGTCATCACTCCACCAGGATTAACGGTGAAATTGTGTCTGAATTTAACCGAGTAAAACCATAGGAAGTTACAACTTATACCCGGGCAACTGGTTCTGGTGTATGCCGGTGCCTGTGGTTAGAATCTCTTGGCAGATAACCCTAATTTTATATTTTAAACTTGAATGTGAGTTTGTTTATTGTTACTCTATTACAACTTACCTATTCAAACGAACATCATGAAATTTTGCATACACGTTGTCTTGCGTACAGAAACGGACAGTAAAAAAATAACGTTACTGAGTCACGGAAAAATAACTGTTTATGTTATTCTTGTTATGCGTTATTAAATTATTTATTTATACATTTTTGTCGTACAGATATTATTTCTAACTTGCACAAACCACGTAAAATTAAATTTTCTAATTATATTATTAGAGCATGAACATTTTATTACTATTTTATGTAAAAATGTTAATGGGAACGTTCTTCCAGTACAACTTATTTTATTAACTAATTTTATTGTTATTAAGTTTATTATACAATTATTATTAATTATAGTTGCTTGTACAAGAAATAATCAATAAAACAAGTTTAATTTCATTGTGACTTTTTATGAATAAGCATTTGATTGGTATTTTTATTTTTTTTTTCAACCCGTCTGGCCAGCGTTCTAAGGAGAGGCCTATGTCCATCAGTGGACTATTAAAGACTGTTCATAGTGTTCATGTGATGGTATTTATTGAAGAATCCCTTATTGAAGAATGACAATTTAATAATCTAAACACTTAATAAAGATATCTCCTAGTTTATTAATATTTAATCTCTTAACCATTCTTATTGAGTTACATTCTGTAACGTTAATAGTTATTATCGTACACATACTTAATTTTTTCGACACAATCCTTACGTTTATGTACAAGAACTTTTCAACATTCACATTAAACAACATTGGCTTTTAAAAATGAATCTAAAAGAATTAAAAAATCTTTATAACCATTCTTAAAGCCACATTTACTAATCATTATTTGTTTATACAGCTATTTAGGTATGTATTTGTAACCGCATATTCTTTAAAAGTTTATTCTATGTCCTTTGATTAGGTATAGACGACTGCACGGATAGCGTGGTTTAAGCGGACACCACGCCGCTTCCTACTGTGCTGAGTGCTGTGGGTCCGATCCCTACACGGGACAACACTTTGTGTCATCTACAAACTGTTGTTCTGAGTCTGACACAGGATATATTCCTAGTGCGGGATTTGTCTTTTTATAAACAGAATAAACAGAAGAGAAACAGAATTATACACCTGCCAAGCAAAATATGTCCCTGGATCACTCAAATGCTGACTGAGAAAAAATGCTTACGCGATTTAGTCCGCCTTAAGCCATCTTTATAATAGGGTAGATGACTGTCAAGTCAAATCAGTGTCTTTTTTTAGACGTCAAAACGCTGGACGCGGTACATTTTTGTATGAGATACTATTTCGTGACGTCATAGCTAGTTATTGTCAAATCATTTATATTTAACGTTGATTTCAAGATATCAAATGAATAAAAAAATCAAATTGACGATGGAGGACAATTCAGCCTCTACTTTGAGATTGTATATTTAATGATACAGACGAAATAATTTATTTTAAACCTAGGAATCTACCCTATTACAGGAAATGTAAAATAAACTGTACTGTACGACTGTACGCCACGTGATCATAGTATTTTGGCATTTACTCAAAATTCAACAAAGCACGAGCAATGGTAAGACGGCATGACTCCTTTTAAATGAAATAGGCTTACATTTCCACCAACTAAGTTTTGTCCTGCCTTCCTGTAACGGCCTCATACTTTTTCGATTAACATTTATTCTGTTTCTCTCCAGACATGCTATTAGGTATGTGATTTATCATTGCGAATTAAACGTACTTCGTGATTACTTCGCTCCGTTCCTTAGAACTGAGCAAATTCATTTAAGCTTTTTCTGCTTATTCAGTCATTTCCAGACTATTTGTTGGTGGGAATACAATCATTTTTTTTAATTATTCCTATGAGACACAATTCAAAAGCTTCTCTCATAATTCCTACCTTTAATTTTATTCAGCAGCAAAGTTACTGAGCGCTACTAATACTCGGTGATGTCACAGGGAATATCTTAATTCCCCGTGATATCACCAGTGTCATAGAGATTAAAACGATTCCTCCTGACAACACGCGGGGGTGTCATGGGGAGTAGGTGATTCCCCATAACACCACCATATCATTTGGTGGTGTCACGGGGAAAGAATGAATCCTCAACAGACCCGTTCGGCTTGCGGTGGATACCGGGTTAAATGCTCTTCATCAAATTAATAAAAGTAATAAATAAAACACAGATACATTTTACAATATCACTTTATTACGGTCCATATTTATAATAAATAGCGTTATAATACAACGATACAGACAATGATGGCGTGGCTTATAATTACATTTAGTGACTACCGTGTCGTAGCTAACTTCACTGCGTATTTGGAACAATCGTTTGCTATATTCAGACGAGACAACATTCAACCCACACTCCTTTAATGTTAACTGTGGACGTAGGCTATAGACGTACTCAGAACGGACAAGGAAGTAAAGCTCTTTCCTCCCCCCCTTTTCTTTCCTGTGCTCCTCTGCCCGGATACCACTCACCAGTGGGGTAATGAAGTCGTATTCGAACCGACCAAAAACCGCACGACATCTCCAAGTACCAGTAGCCAGGTATACCCTAGAAAGGAAAGGCCTGGTACCCCGACGTACCTCAGGCCTTCTACGGCTTATGAATGTTGTTACCTACATTTAAGTTACCTTCACTAAATTTTCAAAAAAAAAACCAGCAATATAGAAGGCAAAAATGGGAGGCCGATTAAAACAAATGTTTTGCCCTGGATAACAAAACTAGCGCGAGGAGTATAGGGAGTCGTCCGTCGCCGTATAGGGAGCAAACGAGTAGACCTCCGGAGCAGGTCACCTGATAGTAAGTGACTACCACCGCCCATTGACACCTGCAACTCGATAGTTAAGGGTAGTAGGCATGGGACAAATCACAGTGAACTGTGAAAGATCGGTGATTTATCATTTGATTTAACTCACGCGTTGTTGCCAATAACTGTTTTCAGCCTATTTAACAGTAAATCTACTAACTCTTTTATTATATATAGCTAGCATTTCCTACATAATAATTCAAAAAATACTAGATTTACTGTTAAACAGCGTCGCGCAAAAATGCGCGCGCGCGCGCGAATGATAAATCAGTTTCACAGGGTAGGGTTTGGCTCCGGTGGCCTCTCTCACTTGGTGAAAGACAGATAAATAATTATTTAATAGCGGTTTTCTGTGAGGCCGTGTTATCCGGTCGAGCCCGCCCATTCGCGCCGAACGCATCTATGTGCATATGATACGCAACTTTGTGCTTTAATAACCAGCGACAGACGTATTGTAATTGATTGCATTTCAACCAATCATTTACTCACATATGGATTGTGGTTGTCATGATGACACGTGATTTCTAATCAATTCTATTTCTGTCCGAAGATTTCCAGGAGGGCGTTAATATAGGAGTCTTCAATGAGTGTCCA